GTTCCGGTCATGAGTGGAATGCAGTAGTAGGTTCGGTTCTAGTCACGAGTGGAGTTCAGCAGTCGGTTCTAGTCACGAGTGGAGTTCAGCAGTCAGGACTAGCTCAGCCGTCACACACAGCACAGCAGACACAAAACGTCACCGGGCCCACTCATAGTTTTAATCATATGCAGGATTTAATTATATCGCATGCAATTGATCTTACTGATATAGAATTGATCTTACTGATATAGATATCGTACCTCAAAGTGATGTTGTTACTGACCATTTCCTTGTATCGTGCATGCTGCATATTACTGATATTAACTATATGGCTCTGCACTATTGTCCAGGAACAACTATTGTTCCAGCCACCAAAGACAGATTTACAAATAACCTGCCTGATTGATCTCAACTGCTCTGTGTACCCATAAATACACATGAACTATACGAAATGACTAGCAACATGGGCACTATCTTCTCTAATACATTAGAAGCTGTTGCCCCCATCAAATTGAAAAAGGTTTAATTCACTGACTAGCTACGCAATATCACTTTCATTATCGCAGATGAATCACCTGTGATAATGAACGCGATATTGCGTAGCTTGTCAGTGAACTATGGCTCTGTGTAGTAAATGCCGCTCCATCTGAAAGCACATGATGGAGATTTACTACTAATCACAGGAGCGGCTTTACTGACGAGATGCGTACAGCCCTCATGGGTTGATTTGTCAGTAATCTCTCTTGGTTATAATATCAATAGTTTCACATCATCTTCATGAATCATGCGCGGTATTTATCCTGCACTGAATGGTGAGATGTGGTTCTCTCATGTATCTCAGTGAGATCTCAGCTTACACTAACTATGCAGCAACATTCACTTCTAAGACAGAGCAAGCCAGATCTGACCCAAAAGCAGCAGCAGTATGTGGGTCAGGACCCCACAGTACACCGCATGGAGCGCTGCAGCCACTTCACAGCACGTCCATCAGCACAGGTTTAACATGACACCCAACCTGATTCGCAAACAACACCTCACACCAGCAGGTCTGTTGTTGTTCTTCACAAATGATCAGTTGCAGTGTTATCTCTTGTGTTATGTAGTGATCTGCACAGTAAAGGAAACGGAAATAAGAATAGCAGTTTACAAATATTGACGCTGTAGACAGACAGGCACACAGACAGATCTCACATGGATCTTAAGCATGATTTAGGCGTGTTGTGTTTTTTCCCCGGGTGTGATCCTGAGAGAGGAAACCACAGCCTTTCCTGCGTGAGAGCTCTTCTCTGACTAAGTCAATAAAGTGAAGTAGGGATGCACCGAAATTAAAATTCTTGGCCGAAGCCCCCCCCCCTAGAATTTAGTTTATATTGGCCATTGAGAAACAAATGTACAGTATGTTCTGCCATGAACTCTAACGTATCAAAACGTCTGTCTACAGCTGTCTACTGCCAACAGGTGACTCCAGAGACAGACGCCGTGTTCGTGGGTCAGCGGTCGATCCGAGGTTTGACTCAGGCTCTGTTTTTCAACACCTCATCCTGTTTTGAGCGGTTAGGCAGATGCAGTCCTCTGGGTATCCGGCACAA